TTTCCTTCAGTTTTAGCATTGTCAGCTGTGCCGCTGCCCCTCCTCCCCTGTAGTAGCCGTCGTCTGGGGACAACCGGTGCTTCTGGAGTACCCGTCCCCGGATCACCAAAGCAATCGCACAGCAGCGAGCACTGAAGAAAGTTGAAAAAAAACGCAGCACACCTTCACCAAGCGGGGCTGGGAACAAACACTTGAGGATCTGCCGGCACGCAAGTATGTCTTTCAAATTGTAGTAATCCTTGTCCACAATCACACACATCGATTTACGCTTCTCCATTTTCCTGCAATTTCGGAAAACCATCACAGGCACCTCATACTGGCGGTGAAGACCCGCTCCCCCTCCCCTCCCCCCTCCTCCCAACCTCATCCGTACAGTATCCGATGCAACCACTGTTATTGCCTGGGCCCCCGCTGGCACAACCCGGCCTCACCAAATCTACGCAATTCCAGTGGGTATCCAGGGTCCAGGGTGGTCCGTCCGGTTCAGGGGTACTCCTTTCCCCGTCCCCGACGCATCACATTTTCATGACTTGCACGCTCGTCGCAGCAACCAAAGTCCCGTGCTTCCCGAGAGTAAGCCAAAGTGCCGTAATCGAACCCCACACCATCCTAGGCCCCAAACCACGGCAACGCCGGGGCCAAGCCAGCCCCTTCCCCCCTCCCTCATGTGCAGCGCCCCGTGGCCTCACTCCACCGCACCCGCTCCTATCAAGAGAGCTTTCAAATTCATCGCAATTTTAGCGCGCCTCCACTTCGCCACCTGTGCCAGCCCCTGCTACCAACATATTTCGCCAGCTGTCTGACTCGCTGGTGTCTCTCTTCGAAACCTGTCTTCGCTGGTCAACGTGAGGAGCTGATGCTGCTGGACAAGTGGGGAGGTACGCCAAACGTATATGTACGTATAGGAGATCCGGGAAGAACTAATGAGAGGGGGCGGGGCGAAGGGGTTTGGAGGAGAAAGTGCCCTCCCACCATGGAATTGTGCAAAAACTAGGAATAGAGTTGTAACACACTGCTACTTAGAGTTACTTTAGGCTTTATTTATGAACAGACCCAGGCTTTTGCAGTACTCGTGCCTGTGTCGCCAGGGGAGGGGGCAAACGACCCTTCTCCCCTCCCCCTGGATCCGCTATGTTTACTTTTGTTTGCATGAGGGGCCGTTGTAGGCTTGCGTTGGGCCTATGGCTTGGCTAATTCAGATCAGGCGAGATTGCTTTTTAATGCCCCTCAGTGGCTCCTTGCTCCATTCATTTTTTGAAAAGTACCAAAACTTGCAACTGATAATCGCCTTAGCTCTGGGTCCAGCAATCGAGACGGTAGGCCTAGATACGAACAGGCTAAGCCACAGTCCAAGTCAGTTGGCTACACTCGAGCCCAGTTTCGAGCTACATTCCGAAGCTAGCCTCAGCCCGAAACTTGAATCCATCCAGTCCAGGGATCAAGTTCACTTTGAGAAGTAATTTCCGGTCAGTGATGCTGAGTTGCTGTGAAATTAGTTAAATTTAGAGTGTTTGTGCTGCTTTACGCTTACAGGAAATATCCAGTACCAATGTACAGTGAATTTTAAGGATTAATTTCAAGTTATTTAACTTACACTTCACGTGCAATTAAACTCTTCAAGTTTTGAGAATACACCTTTATTTTTTTCCCTGATCGCAAATTTAGCTCTAATGTGCGCCTAAGGTCATAAGCCAAAACACAGAAGAAGAGATATTAGTTGTTTTATGTTTGCAATCTCATGTACAGTAAAAAACTGGCCCGAAAATTTAGGCCCTAATTTCTTTGAATTTCGAATTACAAAACTTTTTTTTGTTCGTTTTTTGAGCCAGCAGTGAAAAGTCAAAAAAATTTTTTCCATTCGAAAATGGAAAACGATTGGAAGTTGGTTTTTCGTTTCAAATTCTGATTTAGAGCATTTTCAAAAATTCCACTTTCAAAATTTTAGCCTCTCGGCTTCTGTATTTTTCAAATATAAGGCCTTGACAAATTTTTGTTTTATCAATGGAGCAAAAACGCATAAATAAGGTATCCCGCAGAGCTGAATTCTGGGAGGATTATAAAGACCCTGTGACTCTAAGCCGAATTCTCACTCGAATCCCAACTGTATCCATGCATATTTTGGCCGCACAACGCCTGCACCCCTAACATGCACAAGTGACATAACGAATAGCTTCTTATAGCGCTACATTCAAGTGCATCTCCAGACCTGAAGGGTCTGGGACTGTGGGGGGACCACTGTCCAGTGTCGCTTGTCACTAACCATTGCGTGATTGAGCGTTATGCTTTACCGCATTGCTACAAACGTGCGTTGCTTGCAAGTGTCATGTTCCATAGAAATGTGACAAATAGCACTTATATGAATTAAGACTTACTAAATTAGCGTTGGAGCAGTCGGCTGGCAGGTGCTTGCTCGCGCTACTGCTACTGCTACTGCTGCAGCTGCAGCTAGCCTTGTTCCCAAGGTTTCCAAATATCTGTGAGTATCAATATCCAGCAGCAGAGAAGGGAAGGTTTTAATACCTGTTAGCGTAGGTACCTACCACTTACTGTGATATTTATTACCCACTGCCAGGCTGCCCCCCTCTCTCTCATCATTTCTATGGTTACCGAACAATTAATTTACTTTTCTTGGATCCTTCCTGCCGCACTCTTGTCCACCTACTAAAACTCATGTTATTTGTCGCCGCACTTGTCCAATTTTGATATTTTTTATAAGACGTTTTATCAGCGGTGCGCCAGTGCTGTCCAGGTGGACGAGAGAAGTGTGCACGGAGCAGGAGCACGCAACGTCGTGCGCTTCTGTGAAGTGAACTGCATCAGTAACTAGCAGAACGAGCATGTTTTTTTCCCCTTGGGAATAAATGGGAAATAAATGATTTGTCGGAGAATTGTCTGTGAAAACGATGTTGCCTCAGTAGTCGTTCGATACTTTAAAAGATATAAAAATTTTGAACAGATAGTTCAAAGAAATTCGAAAATCCTTCTAGCCGACAAGAAAAGCAGGAAGGGCGTAACGGAAGCACGCTTAAGATTCACTTGGTATCGCTTTTGTCGAAAACCGACCACTGATAAGGCAATCGATGGCTCGCGTTACCTGGCGCTGTACGGAAGGCAAGCCAAAAGCATGTGGATTAAAAGCTGCATGCTGCATAGCTTCAGCAGGATGCATAATCTCCCTCAGGTTTTGCAAAAAAATGAATTATTAAGATTTCGAAGTCGAAAACCTGTAGCACGCACTCACTCGAAATATTCTTGATAATTTGTTTCATATCCTTATTTTCACAAATTTCGCTGGTTCCTGGGTATGCGAAGAATAAAGGTGTAAAGTTTTTAAGAATGGCTCTAGACGGTATTTTGGGCCAGACGTTTTGCCTTTTTTCTAGTAGATCGTTTCCATGAATCTCAAAATACATCTTCCCGTAAAACAGTCGTTGGAAATGAACTTACTTTACTCTTCACTAACAGCACACAAATTCACCCGTCCATAAGCTTTACCGCATAAGACAAGACGAGCTAACAAGATATGCAAAGTCCATTTTGTGCTTTCGAAGGTAATTTCTGCGGTTTTCTTGGGGAAGAAAGAGACGTAGTGGCTTCCTGGTGCATTACAACGAATTTTGAACTGTTCATACCCGGGATTCACTGTTCATAAAATTTTGCATTAGGGGGAGCCAGACAGTGACAGTTCTGAGCAATAAGGAATTAGTTAGCGTTCAGTTTGTTTCTAGGAAGTGCTGAAACTTCTAGTTTTATTATTGAAAGTGCGCACTAACATTCAGCCAATAATTCGCTTGAATGGTTGCTATAAGGCTAAGGTAATTACTGAACAGGCGAGTAATTGTTGGCAGGCAGGAATGGATGTTTGAGAATGTTATAAAAAACAAACTGAACATTGATCACTTACTTCCGAATTGTTCAGAAATTAAATTGTACTGAGCGTCACACTGGATATCGTGCGATGCAATGTGCCAGCTAGCTATCTGCAATCTTTGAACGGCTGTTGGCAACCTGTTGAAAATTAGTCTTGACAGGTATAATCAAATTCAACTTTTTGATTATCAACAGAAAGCTCCAAGCTGAAAGCACCGTGCAATCTCTCGCCTCTTTATTCGGTTCAGAATGTTCTACCAATTTCCTGGAGGAAATGGTTTATTAGTTCATCGCTCAACAGCATCCTGCAGTTTTATATGTATATCGAGAGATCCCGATTCGCTTTCGTTCGCTCATTTGAGATTCTAAGCAGTCCACTGCCTTCAAATGGTCGGCCGGTGGTCATCGTAAACCGATCCAGAAGGAGCACATGATACTGGGCACCACTTTATTATTATTATTATTATTTTTACTATTATTATTATTATTATTATTTTTACTACTATTATTATTATTACCACTATTATTATTAATAATAATAATATTATTATTATTATTATTATTATTATTATTATTATTATTATTATTATTATTATTATTATTAT